CGTGCGGAGCTAGTCACTACAAAACCATTAGTTCTAATCAAATCCGGCCAATTTACGTGAAAGAAATGTGTTAAACATGATCAGTCGAACGGTGTTTGGTTGGACAATTTCAGAAAAGGAGTTGTTGAATTTGATTCCTCAAATTCAAATGAAACACATCACGTTACCCCTCTGGTGCATTAGTGGAGAACAGCATTCAGCATGTACTACTATGAATTTTGACCTTTTTATGGAGGACCCGTCTCCCGCGTCGGCGAGTATCCGCGTCTGACAATTATACCTCAATTATGCCCCAAGGAAGAACATAAAAACAAAGGCGTAAAAAGTGGAGGCCACTCGAATGAGGGTTTTATTGTGTACAGAAGCCGGAGTTGCTGTCTCGGGTGGCAGTGGCCGTGGGCGAAGCCCGAGCTGATGTGGACTGCGTCCAGTCACACCTGAGGATGTCTGCAAGTCTCAGCAAGTCCGATGCAACTTTCTGTGTGTGAGATGTGACAGTTGGTTATAAGTGATTGTGAGACGAGTTCAAATGTTGCACGATTGGTGCGTTGGATTATTCCAAGGAGTGTCGAGGATTGAGGTCACCTGCTGGGTGGCCGCAGGGTTGTGCGCTCAAGTGGCTCTTCAGGGACTGCGACTAGTGGGGCACGCTCGTGTACTCGCATGCGTATGCGATCGTGTGTGTACGAGTGAATATCCATCCAGCTGTTTAAGTGGAGACAGTCACTAGCGCATACACATAATTTTGAGGCCGCACTTATTGAATAATGAACCGTTGTTGGCCGTCGGCCATGGGAGCGATTCATTAGGATAGCCTGCAAGGTTATTCTGGCAGTCGATTAGGCTCACTCCGACTAGGAGTCAGGCCCTCAGTGGCTCCCGAGCGCGTTCTTCCTTACAGTTTTCTTGGTGCATTTCGGAACTGCCTGCGCGTAGAGTTAAGGGTTCGTTCACACATCACGCTTTGGCCTTGTCGGCCACCGCGCTTGAGCCCATGTACAGTCTTCTTGACTTCCCCTCACCGTTGAATCACAGTTGGTATGAGAATATAAGATAAAGTAGATGAGTCGAAAGTCTTCTCCACTATTATCAAATGTATGCGCTAGTCACCTTCACGCCCACCTCGTAGAGCAAGGGTAAAACGCGATCGCTGGAGTCCGACCTTCGTTCGTCCGACATTTTGGGTTCACACTCAAGCCCACCAGTGACGAATAAGGGTAATTAACACACAAGGCGTGCCGTATTTATAGGATGCGTTTAGTATACAGCCACATACCTGTCATAACTAGCGGCTTCCGCATTAATTTCTTATGATCGTCGGATAGTTCCTATCCGAGTCGCTGATTGTTGCAATTTCACCCCCCCC